ATCATAACTCCCAAATTTGGGCTCGGATCTTACTCAACAGAAATTACCTTTGTTGAGCATTTTAAATTATTCTTGGGGAGACTTCCATATCACTGTAAATACTTTTTTTTTTTTTACCAGTCTGGTTAAAAGGCCTTAGGCTTTGATGTCTCGGAATTCAGGATATTTGCTTTCTTTGTAAAAAACTTCTAAAGATACAATTTAAATTAAGGCTTTAAGTGAAGTCAAGACATTTCGCACGTAGCTCCGAAACAATGAGCTAGATAAGGAGATAAATCCTATCTTCTTCCTGAAACTGGCTAATGGGCAACCTTTACAAACATTCAAACTATTTCATTCAATATGACAGTTCCCACAAATTTGTGGGCGTTGCAGCTGTCTTGATGCTCAGGAAACATGCAAAAGGGAAGGCAAGGGTTCCCATGTCTTTGCAGTGCCCATATATTGGGGTAGCCATAAAATAACCCTTCTCATTCAAAACTAGAAATAATACCCAAATGTGATCTTTGTGATGTTTTTTGCCCTGCTGAATTCAATGGCCAAATCCCTTTGACCTCAGCAGGATCAGGATTTTACTCTTTTTATTTGCTGTAGACCTGTCCTGTAAATGCTACATCGGTTTGTGACAGGGCTTTGGAGGTTTGTGTGTTTTATCCTGACAGTTTAGATCACTACAAGGATCTGTTATAACTTTTTGAGGAGAAGCGAGCATTTCTCATGTGCATCTCAGCAGTATGTCTCTAACTAAGCTTTAATTAGGTCATTTATCCCCTTTATGTATATGTACTACTTCAACTCAGTAACAAGACAAAATGATAAATTAATTTCAGTAACAAAGCAACAGAAATAACCTATTTATATGTGTATGCACATAATCATGCACATAAAACCTTACCCTATTGCTAACTATATATAGAGGACAAACTCTTTCATACATGAGCATGGCATGAAGGCTCTTCAGAATCTGAACCTTCCAATAATTGCCCTCTGTTCTGATTGTCAGATCCCCCTCCTCCTGGTGCTCTGACATCAGGGGTCAAACTCTATTCTGCCTATTAGGTACGTAAATGGATTTATGTGCCTATGTGCTATTTTATTTCACCCTGGTTGACCATGAAAAACAGTTAATGCAAAATGAGGATGGGTTTGACTCCTCATCTGCTTTTTAGCAACTCAGTCATATAGGTTAGATGACAGTATGTTACCAAAATAGATACATTAATGGATTTTCAGGGTGGAACAGAATCACACTTAGATGCCTAAATCCACTCAGATGTCTAATAGGGGAAATAGAATTTGGCCCTACATCTCTCTTACCTCAGTGTAACTACATTGGTTTTTATGGAGTTGATTTTTATTTACATCACCCTAAATAAGATCAGAGTGGGGCCAACTATAGGACATATTAGGTTTAAGAGCTCCTTGTCTGAGCCAAAAGCAGCTGCACACAGATACTTATCTGGCAGGAGAGATACCATGGATGATGGTGGTTTTGCTGGCTTGGCAGGAAAGATCCCCTGCTCAGCCTTGAATGACTTGGCTGGTGTAGTTGAGCGTGGAAAACTGTCCATTGCATTACAGACGGGGCCTGCTGAAAGAGTTCACTAAAGCCTCTCCCAATGGGCGGATTTCTGCTACACAGTTTATAGTGATGGGGGATTGGTTTGGGGTTTCCCCTCTAGTTTTGGCCTTTTGCCTAGGGGCAAGTGAGACTAGGGGACATATGAACTGCAAGGCTTCTGGGCTTGAGCCTGGAACACAGTATGCCTGCCATGGATTTGGGGGTATTTGAAGCCCCAGTCTGAAGAGTTGGGGAGGTAAGATACTTGCCAGTGGTAGTGCCACACAGACTTGAACGGTTGAGCTCTAGTCAATCAGTAGAATTTGGAACTGATTTGGCTGATATGGCCCAAGACACAACATTTCAAAAAAAAGAAGAGAAAAGAAAGACAGGACAAAACTTTATTGGGTTGCAAACAACAGCCACCTGTCTCCCTAGAGATAAATATTATATTTGAACATGCAAGATCTATTCCCAGTAAATGCAATTAGAACTCAATAGTCAAACAGAATGCTCAAACCCAACCTCCCTTTCCATTCCAGAATTTGTTTGGTGACAGAGAAAAGCATCTACAGGGTATTTCTTTTAGCCCACCTTATTGTCACATGTGAAATATCTCGGTGATACCAGCTTTTCCAAAATGTTTACCTAGCTCATATTATTCGTTTACATTCTGTTCCCAACTGAAATTCACTTTCAGTGGAGGAATATTACAAATAGAATAATGAAAGAATGGTACCTTTTAAAATTGTTACACACGTATATATTCCTATATATATATATATTCAGATGCGTATCTTAAAATAAGAAAACTGGTTTAGGAATACATATACCTTGTACCCTATTTTTTAAATAAAATACCTGCTTAAATTTAACAGTACCAGCAAGCCTCTTTATAGCTTCATGCAATGAACTGGAAAACACTATTTAGAGTGTGTGTGTGTGTGTGTGTGTGCGCGCGTGCACGCGCGTGCTAAATAAAGTTTTCCAGTTCATTGCATGAAGCTACAAAGAGGCTTGCTGGGTATTGTTAAATATAAGCAGGTATAAAATACACACACACACTATATATTGTTTAAATATATAGGCCTGTTGCATAGAGAGAGAGAGAGAGGCTATTGAGCTTCCTGGAAATAGATCTTGCATGTTCAAATGTAATATTCAACTTGAAGCTAATTTTATATATATATATATATATATAAATGTTATTTTATATAGGTATATATAGCCAAGTTGAAAATGTATTTGCTTATGGGAATAACTTGCAAAGAACAATGTATCCTTATAATGAACATCAAATTAGTGGTCAAATTTTCATGTACATACTACACTCTGATGAGAATACTTTTTAGCGTAAAACTCATTTGTAATACACATTAGAAGAGTCTGTTTGTCACACTTTATATCAGTATTTGTGATTTAATATTTATATAATAAGAACTTTTATTAGGGACATTTTTTAGTAACATTAATTTGCAATGCACAAGAGAAATCAAACTATTTCCCTTGCACTTTATGCCTATGGTTTAAGTAGTTTTATTTTTGTAAAGTTACCATTCATATTTCTTCCTCTTTTGGAGATAATAATATGAGTAATAATAATAGTAATAAACTAAGCTAAGCGGACAAACTATTTATGGATTTATGTCCACCGTTTGCTTATCAATGGGTTATTTCAACAATTCAGCTATTTTTTGTTATTCTGTTTTGAATTAGCACCTTTAATTTTACCTTGATGGTTTGAACATGCTATTGCCTGCTTTTTAGTATTCAGTGCTTTAAGTTTTTGTTTGAACAGCTTTAGCAAATTACTTTTTCATTAACTTTCTGTTGGGTATTTTAGATATAAAAAATATAGTCATAATAAGGCCCCAGTCTTGCCAAAAAAATGTATGCAAGACCTTACATTTCAGCAGGTGCATATTTCCAATGTAAAAGGTGTGATCACAGCCCCAACCTAATTCTTACTAATGGAAAAAGTGAGAGGGGCTATCTGGAGAAGTAAATTCCTGTTATGCCTAAGAGTAGCAAAGTCTGACCCAAAGACAATAAAATCAATGTGTGTCCAAACACTTCTTCTTAATGCATCTCCTCCGGGGAAGGCATTGAAAGGGGGGCAAGAGGGATCAGTCTTGTTTCCTTGCTTAAAGGTGCGGGGTACAAAGCAGGATTTAGACCAGTGACTTGTAATCCCTATTTCACCTTGGCTTTGGGGTTGCAGATCTTATAATATTTTCTGCTTTGTTTCCTCCTCCTTTCCCCCCCTCCCTAGATCCTTTACACACAAGCTCATTTGTTTCTTCTCAGGCTTGAAAAAAATAGTTCCTTAAGTAACCCTGCCTAGTCTGGAAAGCCCCCAACTATTTCCATTGCCCCCTGCCTGCAGGCCCCCCGCCATCCCCAGCCCCACGGGCAGGGTCAGCTCCTTGTCTCTCTCGGGGCCGGTGGCCAGGACATTTCCCAGTCCAATTTCCCCCCTGTGGAAAGGGAGATCGCTCCTCCTTCCCTCACTCCCATCTCCCCCGCCCCGCCCCAGTTCTCTCCTGCTTGCAAACTGCGGGCTCGCCCTCCTGGGTGGGGTAGGGACCGCTGAGGGCTGAGGCTGCCACGCACAGGCGCCCGCCGGCGGCTCCCGCACGGCTGGAGAGGGTGGGGGCAGCAGGCGGCAGCGCTGCCCGGGGCCGGGGACAATGGGGGATGGAGATGAGTGAAGAGGAGCGGGCAGCAGGGGCCAGGGAGGCGCAGCCCCCGCCCGCCTCCAGGGGCAGCCCGGCAGGGCGCGCACACGCAGGCTCCGGCATCCCTGCCGGGGGCACGCCCGTGTGTGCGCATAGACGTGTGGGGCGTCTGGGCGCGCGTGTGCGCCTGTGGCCCCCTTGCACGCGTGTGTATGTGGCACATGCGTGTGTGTGAATTGGGGCGGCACAAGCACGTGTGTGCAGGTGCGTGGCGGGGGGGCGCGTGCCTGTGGCACACGTGTGTGTGTGCGCGCGTGACACGTTTATGCGCACATGGGCGGCACGTCTGGGCGCGCGTGTAGCACGCGTGTGTATATGTGGCACATGGGTGTGCCTGTATATGCGTGTGCACGTGGCACCCTCGCACGTGCGTGTATGTGGCACATGCGTGTGCGCGCGCGCGTGTGCAGGTGTGTGGCGGGCGCGCGCGTCCCTGTGGCACACGTGTGTGTGTGCATGTGTAGCACGCGTGTGGCACATGCATGCGTGTGTGTGTGCGTGTGCGTCCCG